CTAATTTTCTAGGTTTAGAAATAAAAATTTTTTATATTTTTATTTATAAATTTTCAGAATTATTTATCAATTATTCGCGAAATTTAATTAAAAACAGAGTGCTTATACCATCATCTACCCAAATTCTTCGATCTTATTTTATTGATTTCTACTTTCAGAATATTTATATTTTTGAAAGAATCATTTTTGAATAATGCCTGAAAGATCAGAATTTACAGATTTTGAATGTGATGAAATTGTTGGTTTATGGAAAGGTAAAAAACAATAAGTGAAATCAGTAAAATATTAAGACATCTAAATTCATAGTTGATAATGTAATATAAACACAAAAAATCTCGTGCATGCTTGTGTTTATGGATGATAATTTAGCTTAAATAAAAGTTTTTTTATCAATAAATACTGTAAATATAATTTACAAATTTTCGCTGTATATGATATAACCATTATCGTTATTTATCCGCGCCGGTGGAAATCTCTTAGTGACTGTTATTCTGAATCACTTCAACACCACATTCTGATATTAGTTTAGAATATTTTAAAAAGCCATAGGATTGAAATTATAAAGTGTTTAGTTTCAATAAGCATTCTTATCATGAAGTTATACAAATGATTCGTTTGCTAGAATAGAATTACAAAATTTTCAATAATAAATTTATTTCAGTTGAATGAAAGTTAAATTACATCTCAAATGAATTCATAAACTTTCTAAACTTTAATCAAATGGCAAATAAAAAATCTGAAAAGTTAATTTCAATATTAGAATAATTGTACATATCATTCTCACATTAAATATAGCCGTAAAAACTTATCAAAATCTGCCTAGTTATAAAAGCAACTTTTAGAATTATAAGTTACAAAGAACGACTCATAAAAATAATCTTAAATAGCAAGAAGTTGAATGGAACAATAATAAAATAAATGTTATTTATTTTCTATTACGATGGGAATAATAGTTATTATAGTACGAGAAGAAAAGGCTCTTTTTGGGAAAATTATATAATGTTAATTATATCATATTCAGAAAATTATATATCATGTGAAATATTAAAAGATTATTATTATTAAATAATACTTCAAAATAAAACAAAACTGCAGAATTTTGAGAAGATCAAATAAAAGAGCAGTCTCAAAACGTAATGACTTTGATGTAATATTTAAGAAATGTCATATTAATAGGACTAAATATAAAATCATGTGAATAATAAAATAATGACTAATAAGCGTGCAAATTCTCTTGGACGATAGAATTAATTCAGATGACAAAAATTTATTTAAATACATGAGTACTCGAATGATCATAATAGTCATTAGTTTAATGTTACCATTATATATATATATCAAACTTAGAATTGGTATGTGAGATTATCTCAAATATGGCATTAGTTGATTTGTAAATTAAATTTAAAGATTTTCTGATCACAAAATCGTCACTATGTGTGTTACATTTTTCTGCTTAATAAAGACCGTTTCTACAAATACATCAAACTGTTCAGGCGTAATATTCATAAAGAGCGAATGAACTTCTTTAGAATATTTTCGAAATAAATTGATAATTGTTGAAATTTAACTCTTGACCAATTTTCCTTCCTTTTTATCTAAAGTAATTGATTTTTTTTCATTTGCAATTTCGGAGAAAACATTAGCGTTTTTTAGAAAATACAGGATATTTGAAAAATTCTGCAAGTTGGACCCTTTGATGCAAAGTTAATTCTTCAATATATATATATATCGGATACTGAATGTTCATATATGTACGGTACCCACAAAAGTATCACCCGATGCAAAAATTAAAAAATAAAAATTGCGATCATTTTCGATTTATTTGATTTTTGTCGATTTATACATAAAATTTATTTAATATTTTTAATCAGCCCTCATTCGATTCCAATATCACATTAATTCTTCATGTCATTGGTGTAATAACCTATTCTAAAATGGCTGCATCACGTTTTTGCCACTCCATCTTCAATGCAACCTTAAGCTCATCCACAGTCATCAAAAGGTTCTCCTTTTTTTTGAATATTATCCTTTAATATCTTTCAAATGTTCACTATTAGATTCAGGTCGGGAGAATTCAACGGCCAATTAATAATCACGATCTTATTTTCCATTAACCAATCCCCTGCAGTATAAATCGACATATAACTTCCAGTTAATTTTTTAATTGTGTTCTGAATTGGAAATACTTGAGTTTTTAAGATTTCAAGGTAAGTACTTGCAGTTATTTTTTCGTTATTCATCCCAAAAATTAATGATCCTTTTAATTTTTCCGTGAAACATCCCCAAAATTTTCCAAAATTTTGTACACTTTCAAAGGTAGGAGCCAAATAATCAACATTAAATTTTTTCTTCAAGAAGCCACCAAACTCTTGGCTACTGTGACTGCTTCCAATTTCCACACTGGTTCATCAGAGAAAATTATTTTTGACCAAACATAATTTTATTTTCTTCACACCAATTAATATGAGCATATACATGTTTTTTTGAGATAGGATTTCTTTGGTACGCTATGCGAGTTAAGTCCGGAGTTGCGCAATATACATTTGCGGCAGTTGATAAACTACAAGTGAGACATAAATTGTTGACTATTTCATGTTGTGGTGACGTCATTTTTTGTTGGCGTATAAATACTTTTCATGGTTGTTTAGGACTGGTGATCTTCCTGAACGTGGTAAGTATTCACTTTTTCTTGTTCATTATATTTGTTAATAAAGCAACGTCCAAGCATTTTTGTGATTTGAGCTGCATTTGTGGTTTTCATGTATGCGCATAGCTGGACGCCATTTTTTAACCTAATGAAATTATTGTGTTGATGAAATTTTTACAGGTGATGTTTATTATTAAAAAAGAGAGATAACTTGATAAATCAATTTTTAAAAAATTAGTTATCAGGTGTAGGTACTATACCTCATCAAAGTGATCCGACACTGGACATTCTATAGTACGATTCAAACAAAAATGCTACCACTCGATTGAATCCGATCGCTACGCATCGAGATATGTATTAAAGTACTTGACGAGCATCCAATTCCTGAGATAAAAGTTTACAGGTCTATAAAAAACATGATGTTCGGAAAATTTCTTAAATTATACATGATCTTTGTAGATAGAATAGTATCCATCAGCTTCCACAATTTCAATCCATCCGCTATGATTTGGTTATACGTAACAATTCAGAGATAACTTTTTCTTTCATTGTTCTTCTGTGTAGGCTGCAGCCATAAATTTAGTTCAAATAGGAGTCATCAAAAGTCCAAGTTTAAACTCTTAGGAAGACTTTTATAGGACAAATTTGATGGGAAATCTATTCCTATGAAATAAGAAATGAATCTTTCGCGCCATATCCCAGATTTTTTATATGCAATACTTTAAAAATCTATCACAAAACGACATTAAAAAAATGCTTATTACCAAATAAAATCAAATTGTAGAATCATATTTAAAATTGTTATAAATTTAAAATTTTTGTAAATTTAAAATTATTGATAACTTTAGTTCCTTGTTTCTCTTCAATAGGTAAATGGGACAATCCCTCCTCAAATATCTTTCAGCGCTTATTAATTCAGAAAATAAAAATAAATTATTTTAAGTTATCCTATCAACGCAAAGTATAGAGTTGTTATTATATCGTCTACCATCAAAATGACGAAACCATTTTCATTATTGCGTCTAGAGCAACAGGAACTCATTTCAATACTTTCCAAATACGTATAAAAACAGTTTAAATGCAATTCAGGTAAACGCAGATACTATGCGTATCGTTCATGTTCGTGTTCATGTGTAAACATACATAAATCGGTGGTAGGAGCGATTCGTATTCAGTTATGTGTGCTGCATTGCTCTACATGAGTCGAGTGCTCAGGAGGAGTGCATCTTTAGTGTTAAATGTGCTAGAAGCACTTTTAATGCATGGATGCAAGTTCCCTCATTGGCTACAACAAAATTGCACTATGCAATTTAAATTCTATCTCATGTCCACACGAACAGGAATCGAAGAACGTATTTGTACTTCCAACTTTTCTGTTGAATCAAACAAAACAGAGAAACTTGATATGCTTTATCTTCGGAATAAGATCATAACCGACAATTATTATATTTAGATTAATTCATTAACGAACGATCAAATCGTTAAGCAAAACGATTATAAATTGAATCTTTAGCCTTTTTTATGGTAATAGGACAGATATTTATGTTGATGTGATAATATCTTTTAATGTTGTACAATATGGCATGACAAATATCAAACATGATATACCTTACGATGCTCAGAGTCTTTACATCTACTTTCTTTGATTAATTTGCTTTTCAGTATGTAAAGAGTTGAATATGTTACATGTATATAAGGATTCGTGAATTTATGCGTGTATAATCAACATGTACATGTATAACAAATACCTTAACAAGTGATGGCTGCGCATCATCACTAGTTAGCGAATGGCGATAGCGATAAGATTGACCTCGAATTTTGATTTTAAGCCTCAAGTCATCCTGTTTAAGCAGTGAATGAGTTACATGTATTTTGCTTTACAACGAAAATTAAACTGCATGTAAGCTAAATAAAGGTGTTGTTCATGTACAGTATTAACATTGACGTTAACGTTAATTTTGCAAAGTTAGCGTCAGCATACGTAAATGCATGAGTTCTTTTATGCATGTACATATCCTATCGCTATACCGATCCAGAATTCTAATTACGCACGTTGATGCTATGAAGTAGAAAACCTATAATCAATTTTTCATAAATTATCGAGACCAGACCGGAAAACACGTAGCGGCACATTTCATGAAAATCACATCTTTAAAAGTTTCCTCTATAAAAATAATTATTCGAATGATAGGTTAAAAAAAAATAGATTAAAAAGCCTTAAAATCGAACTATAAAAATAAAAATAATGGTTCGAATGTAAATAGACCGCAAAGCCTTAAATCGAATTATTAAAATAGCTATTATAAATAGAAAATGTCTTTATTTCTTCTATATTATGATATAATTCTTTATGCTAATGTTCGCTACTGGCGCCTACAGGTTGGCCGGCATGATCTGGACTAGCTTGAACTCGACGAGCACTAAATCCGATTATATCACGCAAATTCAAGAAATTTCTAAAGAATATTGGTTGAACGACCCCGCTTACATGCCAAAAAAGTCCTTCTGTACATTTCGGAACCGTTAGACTTCCAACATATTGATATACCTATATATGTCAAAGAATATATATTAATGAAAAATATAGACATATTTTCTACAAGATTGATTCGAAAAACTTACGTTTTTATTGTCAAAAGTTTTACCAAAGAAATCTCCAAGATTAGGACCAACAATTGTTTTAGTTTCATTTATTTTCGCTGGCACAAGAGATGCGTTCAAAATTAAATCCAAAGCATAGTTTTGCGTAATATCCACATTAAGCAAGAATCCAACAACTGCCACACTGGCATTTCCGCTAAGATCGGTTTGGAATACGAAATGAATTTCAGAATCAGAATGACGATTATTAATGCGATGTTCTGACGGAGTATGGAAATGGAAATTCTGCAATTTATATTCGACGCCATTTCTGACCAACTTAAAGTCAAGTAACGAATTGTCGGTTGAGGTGTATTTGATTGTTTCCCCGGTATTTTTCGCGCTCAATTTATAGTCGTTTGGAAGGTTATTGACAAACGATGTTGCATTTTTGACTGAATTACCAAAGAGTGATGAATCGATATTAATAGGGGATTGTAGTTTTCCGCTTTTACACAACGGTGAATTCCATGCTTCATTATCTGATGCTGGTCCATTGTATGCCGTATATCCATAATCGTTGGCATCAATAACAACACCCAATACAAGTAAACATAAAATGAAGAAAATTTTATTCATATTTATTATTCACGATTATTGCTAATATAATTCGCACGAGTTTTAATTGATATCAAATTTCCGCAATGAATTCAATACGAGCTACATGGTTATTTATACAAATGTTTTATTGTATAAAAGACGCCAAAAGACTATGGACAAGCCCCCACCTTGTGAAAAGATCAAAATATTATTTACATTTTTGAATCATGAATGGCTTTTTATTATAATAATAAAAGTTTACTTGCGCCACATTGAAGAAATTAGAATCAGTTAACCGTCTATGCGCCGGCCAGTAAAATACATGAGCTACAATATCAATATCGTAATTTCACTCGACTTTGAAATAAAGGTTATTGATACAATAGGAGGACATGTGTAGTGTGCATTATACATGGATTTGGACCATTTCGGAATCAGTATTATCTATTGGCTAAAGATCTTCTGGATAAAACCAATTCTTATAAATGATTGGGGGAATTTAACTTTTCACGTGAATTTATTCCAATAATTTTATAAATTTTCTATATTTTTTATGGGCTTTTATAGTAATATATGGGAGATAAGGGGATAAATAATTCCAGAACATATGTTTTTTATTATTACCTTATATATTTATGCGCCACATCATTACCTCCTGATCGAATGCGTAAACTTTGATGTGTATTTTAGTGTCATACATGTACAAGCAATTCTAGAATTCTTTTGTTTTCACGGTAAATGGCTTAGTGTGTTTTTGACGTTTCCTAATTTATACGAAGGCTGTGAAGTCTAAACCTGCGAGTTGCCGCATAGAATGAGTGCGGGTGAATTTTTAAAGTTGCTATCAGTGTGAACGCAGGCGGATTGTTTAAAGAAAATTGATGAATTAAAAATTTTCATTTTACGAAAATGCACACTCAAGAACTTATTGGTGAGGTAAAGTTTCTCTGCATAAATTTTTTCATAGATAATAAATGCAAATATCTATTACCTTACAGGATACATTATTCTTAATTTGATATTGAAGTACATGTACTTGGCCCAATTTGCTTCACATGACTATATTTTGTAGTTTAATCTAATTTTTAATAACTAATGCATGAGATTCATCACTTCCTCTTATATATTGACAAAATTGATTTAACTAAGTCTTTTCTCTAATTGATTATTAGATAATGAATCTTCAAGTATAAAATCGCGAAATAACGAACATGGGCGTTATTTCGAAATCACATCTTCTAAAATAGCATACGTAGTCTCCAAATAACGTCCCGACCTAACAGTGGATGTATGACACGTGTACGTACATTGCACCGAAAGTAGAAATGTGTCATATATATCTTAGTTGTTTTTTAGATTATGTATCATTTGTAAAGATTTAAAATTACTTTATATCGATATAGAATATGTGATCGGAAAAAAATCTATAGATTATATCCCGCATATAGGCGTTATTTTGAAAATTTCATGTTCAGAAACTCGACTTTTTTTCGAAATAACGCATATGGGACTCATAGTAAAAATATTTATTATTTCATACAAGATAATGATAATTTCTTTTTTAATACTTTGCTATTATTTTCTAATATTAATGATATGATTAAATAAATTTAAAATTATAACATTTATTTCTAATTTTATGATTTACAAATCATATTAATTTATAAATTATTCATAATTTCATAGATTATAAATTTACAATTTTACAAATATTGTTTAATTTTTAATTACTTTTATTATATACAGTGGCACTCATAATTATGGAATCAGGGAGTCAATTTTATTAATAAAACATAATAAAAATTGAAATTTTCTCTTTATATTAAACTTTATAATTTTATTAAGAAATAATTTTATTTTTATCAAAATAAAGTGCATGAGTTATACAGTACCTGGTGAAAAGAATAGTGATGGAAATGCTACTTACATTTTTTGCTATAGAATTTCCTTCTCTCTGATTTGGACAATATTTATATTACCAGATTAGAAAGTGATATGCCATTTTAAAAAGCAAGATGTAAATAATAACTTTTAGTATTCTTTACATCTTGTTTTTTTACATATCAAAATGGTATTAACCTCTCTCAAAATATAATAAAATGCCATTAACTTGTTTTGATAATAAAATATTCAAACCTCAAAGAAAATTTTCCAGTAATTGGATATTTCCTTAAGATTCTATGAGTAGTATGTCAGTTTATTATGTAAAACTGGCAAAATTCTTATTGATCACACATTTAGTTATTTTTGAAAGTTAACTCTCCAAAAATACTACTATATTAAATGATTATGAAACATAATTATTTTACTATAATATCAGAGATCAAGATTAAACTAGAAGAAAATAATTCTGAACTTGAGATTAGTAAATATATTATTTATCATGAGCTTACAAACTTCAGTTTTATTTCAGTTCTTTCCAGAAGAGTCTTTCTTCTAATTCAATAAGCAAAAGATCTTGAATATATAATTATATCATAATATAACTAGAAAAAAGTTATTTTTTTTAATAAAATAATAATTTAAATATTTTATAATATTCTTATATAGTTTTAAAATACAAAATTTATAATAAAGTATCTATTCAAAATTCATGAATTCACTATTAGAAATATTATTTTTAACAAGATAAAAATTCTAAATATATAGTAATTTTAATAAAATAGTAATCTAAAAATAATTAAGTTTAAGTTTTGAATTAATTATCATAATCTTTTAATTTAAAATTCATTAAGTATTTATAAAATAAGATTAATTATATTTATATTATCTTTTTAAATAAAGTTTGAATAAAAAAGACTTGTGAAATAAGATATAATAGATTTGATAGGAAATTGATATTAAAATCTGTATCAATCAAAAAATGTCATCTCTTTCACCCGTACATCTCACAGGTATCTCACTCAACACCTCACAAAATTCCAAAACTCAAAACTGTGTTCCTTTTCAGCAAGAACTTAATGAAATTTCTCCTGGTCTTGTCTCCAAACGCACCCAGACATTTACCCCAGATGAAGAAAGCCAGGATAGTGACTCTGAACATCCTTCTACCAGACAAACTAAAGAAAAAAACAAG